GTAATAGGCACTAGGTACCTAAACATCTGAGTACATGTCTAAACCTACGGCATTTTTGTACCCCGGTACCCCATCAAGTCATAGTACCAGGGATCCGCTCAAAACCTCCTTCGCCATAACCTCACCCTTAGAAAATACGCGAAATCGCCTTGAACAAGACGCATCAAGCCATCACCATTTTTATCAAGTTTTCTTCTAAAACAACTTCTTTCATCTAATTCGATGTCGCTCAATTCAATACTGTCAATTTAGGGCCCTTAAACCCCCTATTCCCGAATCGACGCGACTGTAATTTCTTCCCGCATGGCTCCCGCCACCATTTCATCACTCTAACACGCCCATAAGGCCATCATGTCTATGATGAACGGCCAGCATGCCTGGCCACCACCGCAACATCATCAAGTATTTGGCAAACGTCCCTTCCATAATCTTACTGATGCTCCAACGCAATCCAACGATGTTATGGATAATTCCGCCGCGTCGGTGCCTGAGGCATCAGATATCGATGAGGACCGCGTGAGGGCCCACTTTCGCGAATTGCTTCATCAAAATGAAGCTCGCCTTGCGCAGATGTTCGCCCCGGATGGTTCTATTAATCGTGCCGCCATAGAATCATGGAGGCGACCAGTTACACCCTCTACGGCCCCTCCCCCAACTACCGACCATACCGCCGTACAAGAACGTCCTGCCAAGAGACTCAAAAGAACGATCGACGAAGACGACTATGGGGACGATGATGAGGAAGACGATGAAGATGATGAAGATATTAATAATTCTACTAATATATCTTCGCTTAAATCTAAAGTTGCCTCCGCCACCTCCGCCGCGAAAGGCCTCCCATCCCCTTCTAAGTCAGGAAGCTCCCCTATCGCGTCCGTGCCGTCGCCTTATAAACTTGACGATAGAACGAAAGATGATAGTCAGTCGGGGTCGCATGGATCGCAGGCGCAAGCTAGCAATTCTGAAGACGCGCGCAAGCAGTTAGAAGAAGCGCGGAAAGATACCGAAGAGGCTGCCAAGCGTAGTTTCTACACTACCTTCTATACACTTGAGAATGATCGGGCTGCTATGTTGGAGCAACAGCAGCTTGAAGAATCTGAAAAGCAGCTTCAGGCTGAAATGGATAAGAATACCGGCGGCAATACGAGCGGAGGCACGTCTGGAGAAAATCATGGATCGCTCAGTAGCGCAAACCTGGGCGCATCCAGTTTAACCCTCAAACATCTTATTGCGCGCATAGATATGAAGCGCGACATGGTGCGCGCATCAGATGCCGAGTTGCGCCTCCTTATGAACGAAGTCCGTAAAAATAGAAGCAAGTGGGCCAGCGAAGAGAACGTTAACCAGGAGGAGCTATACGAGGCCTTAGAAAAGGTCTTGACTGAACTCAAGGCTCATACCGAATATTCGACCCCATTCCTCCAGAGGGTTAATAAAAAAGACGCTCCCGATTATTATAATTGTAAGTTTCGCGCGACCACCGAGCCTCAACTACGCTAACTGACACTGCTGTAAAGTCATCAAGCAGCCCATGGATCTCGGCACGATGACTAAAAAACTAAAGTCATTGACTTACAAGTCTAAGTCCGATTTCGTTACAGACCTTAATTTAATTTGGGACAACTGTCTGCGCTACAACCAAGACATGGGCCACCCGTTGAGGCGAATGGCCAACGGGATGCGCAAAGAGGCCGAGAAGCTCATTCCATTGATCCCGGATCTTGTCATCCGCCCTCGTGCTGAAGTTGAGGCTGAAGAGAGGCGGAAGCAGAATGGTGGTGATGATGACGGCGGTGACGATTCTGACGACGAGCCGATAATGTCGTCTCGCGGCCGGATCACCGGCGGAGCGAAGGGATCGAAAGCTAGAAAAACTCATTCTAGCCAGAAGGAAATGACTCCCGGCGTAGAACAGAAGCCAGTGTTGCAGCTGAACGGATTGTTGGCAAAAGCTCATAGAGAAGGCTCCGAACTCGATGGGAGTAACGGGTTTGGAACACCTCCTATTGCGGGCTCTATGACACCCAGTGGGCTTAACGGTCTTTCAGGCATGGGTAGCAACGCGGATGCGATGGATATCGATGGCCCGGAGTTAAACGGCATGGTATTAGGACAGGCGCTGAATGAAGCCGCCCAACAAGCCTATGAAGATGAGGAACACAAAATCTGGAAGCAAGTGACCAAGAAAGACCGCGCGCTAATCACCAAGAGTCGATTTCAACTTTTTAACAATAACAAGTTGAATGTCGATGAGCCTGCATTGCTTCGAACCAAGGCTGGGATGCGTCGATTCCTACGCGGTCGGCAACAGGCGGAAGCCATGGGCTTATTTGGCTATACTCAGGACCCATCAGCCAGTCAAAGCAAAGAAGCAAAGGCAACCGAAACTCTCGCAGAGGGTATGGAAGAGGATGAAGAAAAGACTATCCCCGATTATTATGACATCCAAAGCATTGTACCTGACGTTCCGCCAGCCCTCCAGTGGGTGGAGGACGCCGAAGGCCATGTCATCAACCAGCATGAAGAATTTCTCCAAGCCTTGCCGCCGGGTTACTTCACAGCCCCTAAGAGTAACCTGACGCAGAAATTCGATGCCAACATTCGGCAGATGCAGGAGACGAGAAAGATTTGCTCAAAAATTGGCGTTATAAAGCAGATGCAGCTGCAGACTCAGGTACAGACTACATTTTCATCACATCGTACTTGCATCAGTAACTAACCAATGTCTCTTAGGTATATGCGAACCAGTTTCCGAAATATAACCCCGAGCCATTTCTGGAAGCCGATGTTGAACCGCATGTTACGTGTGGCGATAACATTGTAATGGCGCCCGAGGTTTGCAGAGCGGGGATGCAACGGTCCGTTGCGAAGATCTTTTACCATGCGGGCTTTGAAGAACTCCAACCGTCCGCCATGGATGCTATTACTGACATTGCTGCTGACTACTTCGGGAAGGTGGTACAGACTGTCAAAAGCTACACAGAGATTGAAAAGAAAGACCCTTCTCCCGAAGACCTTCAACGTGGGATAACAGCTCGATCCCGTTATACCCCTGAAGAGGCTCTACTCCATACGCTCAATGAGAGTGGCTACTCGATTGAATCTCTTGAGAGTTATGCCAAGGACGAGGTCGAGAGGCTTGGGCATAAACTAGTCGGCATTCACGAGCGTATGAAGTCTCACTTGGGTGATCTTTTGCGTCCCGCAGTGACCGAGGTGGGACAGGACGGGGCCGCCGCCTTTAACGATGGAAGCGAGCAGTTCATTGGTGGTGATTTCGCTGAGGAACTTGGCGAAGATTTCTTTGGATTCAAAGAACTCGGCCTTGCCGGGGAAATGGGCGGTGTGCTCTCGGTTCCTCTCCATCTCCTTCAATCGAGGGTTCGCAGCCAATACCAGGTCCAGAATCCGACGCAAGGTACTTCCGATGAGGTCCTCTTCGAGGATCTCTCGCCTCCTGAACCCATCACCAAGGAGAATATCCAGGAGCAGATCGGCCTTGTCAAGAACTTCTTCCTCGCTAAGCTGCACGCTAATGGCGACTCACCTTTGGTGGAAGATGAAGACTTGCCTGTCAAGCAACGACGACCTCGGCCACGTCTTGGTGCTACTGGCAAGATTGTTTCACCACAGAAGCGACCCCCCAAAGAGCAGAATGCCATTAACAAAAAGAGAAAGAAACTAGAGGCCCAAGCAGCCGAAGCTAGCAAGGCAGCAAATAACAGTCCTGAAAAGGGTGGCTCGAAGAAGATGAAGAGTCTGTCTATGCCCAGCGGTAGCGGCAGCCTTACGAATGGTTCATCTCTACCTCCTGCTGCTCCTCCTATGGAGCGTGTCGGGAGCACGCAAAGCCAAGGCAATAACAGCCAGACGGATAAAGAGGACAATGGCATGATGAGCCCAGAGAGTATGGAGCGTTAGAGAAACTATACATTGGGAGCTTTTCTGCTTTTATTCTGACTAGCCATGGTCATACTCTTCTCATCATTTACCCTTTCGGAAAAGTAGTAAAGTAGTGTTTGATTGACGTTTTCCACCCTTATTCTATACCCTATTTAGCGGGATATCCGGTTTTCCTTTCAGATTTTCCTTAGACCCGGCCTGGAACCCAAAGGAGGGTGCGCGGCGTACGATAGGGCATGGAGGCGTTTTCTCGGAGGGATGTCGATGAATATTCATTCGCGAGTGGGCATGGTTCCATATTTGGCTCGTTTTCTTGCTAATGATATTATTTTTTTTGGTACGACTTGCATATATCTGGATGGATGGACCACGACTGAGGAGACAGACAGGATGGCATATGGATGAGTCACGCAGGATCGATCGACAGGGCACCCGAGATGCACGCCATGTACATAGCTCTCCCCCAGCACACCCACACGCTACCTTTTTATTTTACCATCACGCATGTAGCTGTATGAGCTACTCTGTATCATACTGAATCTGACAGACATCCCTGAGCTTTGATTTAATCATTCGCGGTTGGTAAGGTCAAGCAATGGGTCTTTTAAACGTTTTAGTCTATTGTAGGTATGTAAATTAGCTGATTTTGATTCTTTCTTGTCGTATTGGTTGTCCGTGGGGACTTTTTTTCTTTTAAACAAGTTTTACTATAAACTTGTTCCTGTTTATATCCTCTTAAGTATCTAGAACCTAAGGCTCTCTATCTAAACAACCTCGTATATATGAGTTCTGATTCCAATATTAATATTTCTAATATTCTTGTCCTAAACCCCGGTTCTTAAGTACCTGTGGAACTGGTCTTGTATTGCGGAAGCGTTGTTGAATCTAAAAGGACTACGGGACCTCGTCTGTTTATATAATTGGCCCTGGGGGGCCCTAGGGGCCTCATTCCTTCCCTTGATGCTATAACTGTGACTCACGATCGTGACGTGAGCCACCTGCCAACAGTACCTGTTTATATCCAGTGCCAATCTAGAGAGGGAAGGCGAAATGTGTTATATGCCAAGCGCCTGTCCGACTCTTACCTTAATCAAGCATCAAGCATCCATGCCGACCGGAGCCGGCACTCCCTCGCGAACACGTACCTTCTTCCGGAGACCTTTCGCGAACCCTCTCAGCGCACTGACCCGGGTGGCTTGTCGCGTGAACGCCTGGTCAATCTCGCCAAGACTCAGACCGCGAGTCTCAGGCATGAAGATGAAGCACACGGCGGCAGTGAGCAGGGCACAGCCGCCAAACAAGAAGTACGCCCCGTAGCTGGTGCGGGCGAGCAGTGTGGGCGTCACAAGCGCCACTAGGAAATTGCTCAACCAATTGCTGCCGTGGGCGATGCTAGTCGCGGACGCTCGGGTCCGTTGCGGCTGGATCTCCGCTGCGTAGATCTTGACTCCGACTGCCCATGATAGCGAATAGATCACCGCGAATACGTAGATGCATACTATTACCACCCACCGCCCGGCACCGGTGCTGGCATGGACTGCGTCCCCTGCGTATAATGAGCCCACTAGGGGTATAGGGGTTAGTAATTAGGTACTTATCTGAAGAGACTAGGGATGCTCAAGTGTGGCTTAGGGGATAAATCCAATATTCGGCCCCTTACGGAAGGCTCGAATCTACATACTGAGGAACATGGTTATGGCCATACCCAGACCACCGAGGATGGTGTTCGCGCGCCGACCCCACTTGTCTGCCAAGATAGCAGCTGGGATGGTGACGGCGAAGATAACGATGGCCGAGACGCCTGAGGCGAGGAACGTGGACTCGTTCGAGGATAGACCGGCTTGTTGGAAAAGGAGGGGTGCGTACTAGAGCAGGGTTAGCTTCTACATTTTGATAAAAATACATTTTACAGCTGGAGGATAACCTACGTAAAGAACGCCGTCGATGCCACTCAGTTGCTGCATACCCATAAGGAAGACTGCCAAGAAGAGACGTGGGCGAGCGTCCGAGGAGAGCACATCGAGAAAATTCGTCTTCTTCGACTTCGAAGTAGCAGCGGTGGTAGAAGTAACGTGCACAGCAACTGTGTCGCCACTTGCATCAGGGATAGCGGTTTCCACCACCGAAGCATCATATTGGCCGAGAATCTTCTCTCGATCAGCATTAGGGACGTCAAGTTTTTCCCAGGCCGCAGATGCTTCTTTCGTCTTCCCATGAAGTGTAAGCCATCTCGGAGACGCAGGAAGCCACGTAAGAGCGGCGATGGAGAATGCAATGGAATAAGCGGCGAGTAAGATAAACGGTAGACGCCATGAAAATGATGACTGGATATTAGCAGTGCCGTAGCAGGTGAAGAACCCCGCGACTAATCCAAGAGTGGTGAGCAACTGGGGCCCGGTAGTCAGAGCGCCGCGAGATCTCGGCGGAGATATTTCGCAGATATAACTAGATTCCGGATGAGACGCTATTTATTCTTAGGTATATATGACGGTAGTCTGACTTACACTACTAACACGCTAAGATAGAGGCCTTCGCCGATTCCTTCAATGACGCGGCCGACTATAAACATGGCAATGTGAATCGAGGCGCCTTCGAGAGCGGCGCCGGCGCCGAAAATAAGAGAACCAATAGCAATCGCATAGGGGCGGCCAAGCACGTCTGCTACCCTCCCAGCGAAGAAGGATGAGATCGCAGCGGGGATCAGGATGGAAGAGACTATTAGACCGTGTATTGTCGGGGAAGGGTTGCCGACATATGCTGTGAAGTCCTCCATTACGGTAACAGGGCCGATGATGCCGGTGTCGATGCCGAATAGGAAACCACCCAAAGAGCAGATAATGCTGGCGACGACATAGCCCGGGGGCTTTTGGAATGAACCGAATCGCTGCATGTTTTCCGTTTACCTATAATGTCCAATGTCCCCCTAAAAATTTGCTATTGCGGATTTAAATTCGAAAAAAATATCTAATCGAAGCTGAAATACGATACCTATTATTTTATATCTGTTAGAAGTGACTCAGGTGTATTCCACGTCACCTACCTGATTTTAGGGCCGTGTTAATGTGTGCTAATATAAGTAGGGCCTGCAAGGCCACCAGACTTACATACGATAATCAACGCACTTTTCAACCGATTGATCAGTCTACAATATTACTATATTAAGAGCAAAGAGAGAAGAGTGTATGTACACTGGCCATGAGGTGTTTGAGCCAACAGAAATGTTGTCAGCAGAGGCGGGGGCCATGATACAGGGGATGGATACTTTAAAGTATGTATGGGGGTCATAAGTCGTAACTAACGGCATCGCATCTGCACTTTTTAGGTAAATCTTTCGCTGTGGCCGTGTCGTTTTTTGGCTAGTCGGTTTACTGTTTGTGGTATCGTGGGTCCTAACGGCGTTAATCGGAGGTCGTTCGGGGTGTGGAGACTAGAGGGCGCGGAAGGCAGCCGGAACTAACATAGCACTTGCAGGCTATAGACAACCCCGGATACGGAGGTAAGGAACGACTATCCGCTCTTGCTTAGTAAAATGTCCCTGTATCATCCCCTTTCCTTAATATATACGGCTTATTTTAGGGATCCGGAATGAGTATATATTTGTTAGACTTCCGGTTATAAGTTTACTTGAGGGGTTGCCGGTACGCTAATAGAAGATGTTTACATAATGTTATATGCGCGTTATATGAAGGTAAAGTACGAGATGAAGAATTCGACATGCGAGTGTTTAGATACCTATTAATAGTCATCATAGAGCTGATAAATTTATCTTCTACGGGTATTCTCACCAACATGCAGGTTTAGAAAGGGTTCCTATTTATCATCTATACGGCATATGGTTAAGCTAAGAATATCGTATGACTAAAATCATGGATCCGATATCACCTCGTATTCTTCCTGTTCTTTGTTGTGGTTATGATGCCATGGGAATAGATTTTACGAGATCTCGAAGAGTACCTAGGTAATCTCCCAATTCCGCTGTTTCTGCAAAAGTTGCAAGGGCGCACGATCTTGACACAAACCCCCAGGATAAATAATCGTCTATAAAACTAGTATATTCTGCTCTGACTTTGAAAACGACTTCGTTATTGCGCTTGTCACGGCAGACAGGGCCAAAACGTAATCTAAATTGCACCTTTGCGCCATGACGAAGACACAGTTCAAGTAAACGCAATGAGTTTATAAATGTTCCAATAAACAGAGCTTGGAAATAATACTGAATGATGTATCCATAACCAAATATATACGTCCGGAGTATTAATTCGAATAAGGATAGCCCCTGAAATCCAAGTCCAGGTGACCCCTCGACTTTTGGGCTGACGTAGTTGGGAGAAATTCCTCGCGAGAAGCACAATTCAAGCATTCTACATTGTCGAGTATAGCAGAGCCTCATCGGGGAAGTGTGGTAACCAATGTCATCCTCTTCAATTGGGGCGATTTTGCTGACAGTCGACATCAAATAACTTGGGTCAGCCGCTCGAATGAACTCATGTAATTGCCAACATATTGCAAAGATTTGAATATTGGTATCTGGTTCAGTGCGATCATAATAAATGCCTCTTCTGTTGTAACCTGCGGTTATGCTAATGGACGCGTAGTTCAATATTGGCTTTGACTGCAATCTTATCGTAGCTACTATTATTTCGAGCTCTGTCAAGAACTTAAGGAAACGATCATGGCGCTGGCGTGTGCCGCCATCAGAAAGGAAGACGGGAGTCTTAAACGCGGCAAAGGACAAGATAGAGCCTAGCTCCTGATCGAAAAGGGGACCGGAATACTTCTTTTCGCCATGCAAGTACCAAGCTTACTCGGCGAACTTGGTAAATGCGAGGAAAGTCTGACAGGTGCGATCGAAAAAGTCGACATGACCTACGGTATGATTTATGGCCTCTTTTATGTGATCCTCCTCTAGAAACTCATATGTAGTACTATGCATGAATGTTACTTCGCCATCATCTGGTAGAGGCTGAGGTTCGGAAGACTGGTATCTTTCTTTATTGGGCAAACATCCAGGAGATCTTTGCAGCGTCCATATATCTGCCTCCGAGTGATCTTCAGTATCCGTGTAATATCTTCGTCCGACATATGCCCAATTTCCATTTCTATCGCGTAGTTTTGATCGTCCATAACCTTGCTGAGAAAGAAGAACCGGAGTAAGGGCAATTTGGGGCTATATCTTATATCTTGTGCTATTCTTACCATTCTCAAAGCCTCGAAAACCTTTGGACGATCTATAGAGTGTATTGAGTCAAATAAGTGCTGGTAAAGAGCCTTGAGCTCATTTGGGAATGTGTCGATTTTTGATTTGAGATCTGAGGGGCCATCGCCATTGAGTATGCCATCCTCGACGGCGGTGAGTACAAGCCGTACCCAGAGAAAGACTCCCTCCGCTTTATTCACAATTTTCTTGACAATAGATCTCATGTCTTCGCGATCGACCAATGTTGGAAAATGTGAAACATCCTCGAGATGATCACTAACAAACGTAGTGATATCCTGACGTGTACAATCATGTATGCGCAATTGAGGGCATTCGGAAAATCCAACCATGAACTCGTTCCATTCTCTGCTAGAAACACATATCTTAAGATTGTCGGCATTTAGAGATGCCCAGCTAATAAGCTTGTTGACGAGCTCGACGTGGCGACCTTGATACTCATCTAGGCCATCAACGAAGAACACCAATTTGTGCCTTTTGAAAGTTGCCTCGCTCGTTAGGAGAGTCTCAAGTGCATGTTCAATTTCGCCCAGCTCCAGTCGGACCCCACCATTTCCATACGAGTTGGTTTGTGCCCAGAGAAAAGAGGCAAATGCAATAGGGATCAGATCTGGGGCGGTGGAAAGAACTTGATAAAGAAGAGAGCGAATGAGTCCAATAAGACTTTTTTGCGTGTCACTCACCACCAAGCCTCCAGAAAAAAAAGTCCTGGCGAATACGAGAACTTTCCCGTTTGATCAGTACTCGAGGTGGCGTCTTGTTAACTGATTCATAGGTACATAGGAATTTCATCAACGTCGACTTCCCTGCTCCCGGTTTACCGGATATGTGAAATAGGTATTCCATTTCCATATTGGAGCCAGTTGGTGAAACGCTCTCGAACCGTGTTTCTGAAATAGGTAGTTAGCTGATGATGATTTGAACGGTCCATCTTTCTTTCATTAAGATCCCCCGCGGATGCATTATCGTGACCAGGGTCGTCCTTAAGGATCCATTCAAGGGTCGTTGCGTGGGCGAGCTCCACATAATAGAATCGATCCTCCATCCCCTCATACTTTAAAGCATCTATGTAAGAGTAGCTTTCGCTTAGATGCCAATAGAGTTTCATCTGATAGGCGCAGGGTATCCTGCAGCCTCTCTATGAACTGAGAGTCGATATTGGCTACCTGCCCTGGTAACAACTGCCGGAAAGACTCTAGGTATAGCATGCTCTATGTTGATCAAATCTTGGTTAGTTGAATTCGCTGACGTGATCAATTCCTGAAGCCCTCTGATGATATCTGACCTATCATAATCATAACCGGTCAACTAATGCCGTAGAATCTCCATATACATAGAACCTTCTCGCTACTATACCTACCTAGACATACTAGCTATCTGGAGATCGAGTTGCTTCCGACAACTGTTGGGGCCTCTTTCAAGTCGATCCCTCTCGTGCCTCATCCTGTGATTCCGCAAAGCCGCTCTGAACGCCTCGAGCCTGCTGTTGGGATTTTCGTTCTTCAGACGGTTGAGCAGTGCAAGCATATCGTTAGACCACCTTCTGCACTCCGCGGTTAGTCTCCGTAGAGCCTCTTCTTTAACCTGTCATCCACAGCGTCGGGAATTCCTCCTCTAGGCTTAGATTTAGGCGTTTCATCTCCCTGGTGATAAACTCGACGTCCTTGTTTGACTGGCTCGATTCGTTGCCGGCTCCATACATATCCTTTGATGCGGATAATACCCTATATCCCATGCTGACGAATTGGAGGACGTTGCTGACCAGCCCGACCTGCAGCCAGAGCTTCCATTTCGGCAATGTGCAGTCGCAATAATGACGCTAATCTACTTTTATGAGCCCTCCGCAGTCAATAGTTGAGAAATCAAATCTCGATCCGCACGATTTGACGGGATAGGGATAGGAGTGGGATGAGGGGAGGGGAGGCCAGGCTATCTACAGAAAATGTTAACGCCTCGAGAGGTGGGACGGATGCGGGTAACTGTTGGGGAAGCAGATCGGCAGTGCTGCCCAAACTGCTAACATGATTGGTTATGGGTTAGGCCTGTTCCAGCTCCGTCTTATCTGCAGACGGGAGTGTCGCATCCCCCTCTTACCACGACTGAGGCTCGGGATAACCCGACTGTTACGAGGCGGTTCATGGTTCTGGAAATGGCATGGCGGTTCGGCTTTTTTTGCTAGTGGGCCGTGGCAAGAAGGAAAATATCCAAAGCCTCGCCCGCGGGTTAGTGAGAGTCCCAGTTATAGTCCCAATTATAGTCCCAATTATAGTCCCAATTATACTGTTGTATACTGTTGTAGTTCCCGTTGAGTGGATTGGATGTGTGGCTACTTCAGTCATGTGATGCCAATAAACATCGAGGATGCAAGGAACGGCCGACGATGCCCGCACGCCACGTCCGCTCCTAGGTGTACAAGGGGCGGCCGACGATGCCCGCGCTTCCTACGTCCCTCAGGTACAGACCCTATACAGACCCTACTAACTAAGTTGATTATAGTATAAGCGCTTATAATCATGTTAATTCTGATTGGTCAATATTCTATAGATTCTCGATCTGAGGCGTCGTGATACTAGGTATTATGCATGTTCTATACGATTTGTGTAGTTCACGATGTTAGTCAGAGTAAAGACCCGAAGGTTGTGAGCGTACAAGTGTAAAAAGATGTCAAAACAACTCATACAGATACGACGTTACGACGACAGTGGCAACTAAAGAAAGAAGTACCTTGGGATTTGAAGCCTTTGGTGCCTAGAACGTATTTTCTGTAGGTATACATGAGTTTGGACACTTTATTGCAGATCTGCAGATACAGAATTTATTGCCTATAATACTACGTAACCAGAGTTGCTACCAATGTGGGATGATCTATGCGAGCTGGAATGCATGCTGACCAGTACCGATAGTGAGATGGACCTTGTGTCGTGAGACGTCCTGCAGCACGCTACAACATGCTGCATAATTCCGTAAGTGTCCGTAAGTGGTGCTCGGCTTCACACCCGCGCCTCTTCCGAGTCCGTCGATAGTCTGTGGATAGTCTATTGATAACCCATTAACTTATAAAAGGATGAAGCTTCCACCGAAGGGTTATTGCTATTGTGCGTAGAACAACACTCAAGGATTTCCGAGAACTTCAAACTCGATTCAAGTTTGCGCGGTTCAAAGTAACACGCGTCGAAAGATCTTCTATCGAAACAACGCCATACAGAAACCAGCTGCTTCATTTCAGCCATGGCGGCGTCAGCAACCGAGCCGCGGGGCGGCGTAGTGACCCAGATCGCCCGATCGGTGGGCTTCTCGAAGAGTTACAACTTCTGGCTATGGGCTGTCTTTGGCGGTGTTCTGCTCGGATTTTCCATATCTCGGTTACCGTACCTCGACTTCTACGGCGTCTTCTGCAGTGGTCCGGGAATGGCCAGGGGTAACATGGGAGCCGCCACACCTGGAGAGTGCTTCTACTACCTGAACCTCACCCTCGGTGGCCTCGCCATCAGAACACACTTGTGGTGTGTCCTGCCTGCGGCTCTGCTCGCCTTCGGACAGTTTGTTCCCATCTTCCGACGCAAGGCTCTTTGGCTCCACCGAATTAACGGCTGGATTTCGACCGTTCTATCCCTCATCGGCGCCTTTTCCGCCCTACCGATGTTGAAGCATACGATGGGTGGCAGCACTGAAACCCAGTCGATGAACCTCCTGTTGCTCATCATCTTCGTTACTGCGGTTTACAAGGGAATTGTTGCCGCCAAGAACCACAGGATCCAAGAGCACCGCGACTACATGTTACGCGCTTGGGTTTACGTACGTTCCCATAATGACCCCTTTCCCTGCTCATTCTTGTTGGATGAGTATAACCAACTTCGTACTAAGTGCTAATTCGTTTCCTCTTTTAGGGTGGATCTGTCATTACCCTCCGAATTATCATGTTGGCTACTTCCATCATGATGTCGTACAGTGGTAACTGGTACGTCGCCATACCATGCGACAAGATCGAGTACTTGATGGATGCTCAGAATGCCACCATGGCCGAGTACCAAGCCAAGTACCCCGAGTGCGCACCTCAATGGTCTGGAGAGGACCCGAACCGCCATGTTGCTGTTCGTGTATACGTCCTCGACGACGACCCAGTGGGTGTTGCTGCCGCCCACTCCCACTGCTTCGGCATGTCGGGTTATGTAGCCATCATTCTGCACTTCGTGGCAGCTGAAGCCTACGTAAGTCTAATTTTGAACCATGCATACAAATGCTATCTCGTTTCAACTATAACTAACACGTTCTTCGTTAGATCTACTGGACTTCGCCCGAGCGCAAGGTCTCCAAGGCCATTCGAGCTAACGAGACTAACCACGCTGCTAAGAAGGTGGAATAAAGCTTACGCAAAGAGCCCCTGGAAATATAATTTCCGCCTCCGTGAAGTAAATGCTTGGTATCGGAATAGTTGTCATGAATTTAGCGGGATAGTCGATACGCTTTGAGAGGCGGGATTAGGGACCAGGGTTAACACACAATGTACCTTATATCATGTTACCCGTGTTCAACCCGTACGGGTAGAATCTAGGACAAGGGGCTGGGGTCGGGTTCGGGGTTATGCATATCATGAGATGGCCTAGTACGCAAGTATATAAGACCAAGGAAGGAAAATATAAGATAGTGAGAAAGATGCTCCTTATATACATACCCCTTAGATCATTTGAATGATGTCCGTAAGCCCTTAGTGCACGGGCTTAATCTGACAATTCTCATATTAGCACATTGTTTTTTATTCATAGCTCATATAAGTCTGAACTATGATGCTGGGATAGTATTGGCTATGATGCAGAGACATGTGAGGGATGAGCAGTCGACGTGGTTAATGCTGTAGCTTGGCCCTTAATATCGTCCGCCTTCGTAACGCTCCCATTTTCCTCATCTCGTGCCGCTAGTATGGCTTGTTCCCCATCGATCCGGGCTTCATCAACATCAACAAGAACAACCTTATCGCCGAAGGCTTGTGCAATCTCCTCAAGAGTCTTTCGCCGTGTCTCTGGGAAATAGAGATACGCAATGACCAAGAAGATTAACGTGCACCCGACAAAGACGTAATAGTAATTTTCGCGGATATTGGCGAAGGCGCTCGGACCGGCTTCGGTGACGGCGACGTTGACGATGAAATGACCTGCTGCTGCAAGACCCATCACCTTGCTGCGCAGCGCAACCGGCAATACTTCCGCGCCGTATAGCCACGTTGTAGAGTTGATCATTGCTTTAGCATTGAAGTTAGAATATTATCCTGGATTTGGAGCGGTTGACAAGGAATTCAGGGGCTAGACTCAGGCTCGCGTCTGAAATATCGAAACACTCGTTCATACTTCCGATAAGAGCTAGAAAAGGGGTTCGGAATCCTACTCACCATAGTACCACGCCACGTATAAATATATACCTAACACTGCGAAACCTTTACCCACTCGGTTTTCGCTATCCTGGAAAATGCGCTGCATCACGGCCGAGTATATCATGGTTAATACGAGACCTGCCAGACCTGCTAATATCATCTTTCGGCGACCCCATTGATCTGTCAGGTATCGCGTGGTAATGGAGTTTGATAGGAAGGCAACTGTTCCGTATACGCCTGCCAACGCAAGTATAGTCTGCTGTTGGATTCCTAGGGATTTATACTATAATAAGAGTTTAGCAAGGCTGGGGGTTGAAACAACTTTTTTTCAATAAAATAAAGAGAAAAAGGTCGAGCTAATAAAGAAGGGTATACTTGCAAGTGTCGTCTGATAATATTGTATAACATTTATACCAGTAAGACTTGTCATAGTTTGAACGACTATGGATACCATGGCTCGGCGGCCGAAAAGTGTGAAAACCTCGCGGTATGATTTGATCTCACGCGTCATTTCGAACTCGATTTGCGCCTGCATCAAGGCGAACTCCTCGTGTACTTCGTGCGACTGAAGCTCCCGTCGGACCTTGGCAAACTCTCGTCGGGCCGCTTCGATTTTACCGTTGCGGATGAGCTGTCGCGGAGAGTCGGGCATGAACGTCGCCAAACCAATGAACATAATGACGCCCCAAGGAATTTGGATACCCAGGGGTAAGCGCCATTGTGTAGCACCGTAGGGCGCGTACGAGCATGCGAAACCCACCCAGTTAGACATCATAGTGCCGAAGGAGATACCACATCCTGATATGCCTCCAATCAAGCCCCGTTGATCTGGTGCCGAGATCTCACTCAGGTAGATAGGCACAGTAGCAACCATCGCACCCACAGCCACGCCCGCAATGGCACGACCCGCTAAGAACATTCCGATGTTAACTGATGCCGTCTGGATCGTCGTGCCGATCGTTACAATGATGCACAGCAGCTGCATAAATCGAATACGACCCAGCCTGTCTCCTATAAAAGTTTGGCCTAGGGCGCCGACAGCTTCACCCGCAATATAGACGGCCACTACTGCTCCCGTTACGCCATTGGAAGGGTGGTGCATGTAATCGATCCAACTTTGATGCGCGATGGCTAAGTGTTAGGTACTTTGTTAGCAGATCTTTCCCAGCGAGATCTCCCTATTTTTCCTGCTTAGGACTCACTGGTTGTGGCAATGCCAGTGTCGAATCCCTATTGTGGAAATCGTAGGTTAACATAGCGGTTCATTCATACATATAATAATGAGATAGAAAGAGAGAAACGTACGAAGAGAAATGTGCCCATCGCGGCGAAGAAGGCGATTCCGAGAGAATACCAACTCGCCATGGCTTATGATTTTTTCCTGTCGGTCCCCGTTTAGTCTATAGCTTGGCAAGTAAGAAGGGGGGATGTTGAACAAAAATTTCCAACAAGCATGTAAGACTATTTTCAACGGGGGCTATAAAGCCTTTATTTCTACGGATTACCTTCTCCTCACTCGGCTACTAGATTTTTAAGACACTAGAAAACTGCGAAAGCTACCGGCCGCCATGGCAAACCATGGTTGGAATGATGCGCATAGCGCATAGCCTGAATCTCCGCGTTGGGCCAGTAGACCGTGCGCTCAGAAGACATTGGGGAAGCCCCACGAACATTTCTTTGACCCTTGTCACTACACCATGCGCAGGTGTACCCGCAACACCCGCTGCCCAGTCGAACAATGGCCCAAACTCTCATCCACTCGATCCGTAGTTTACTCCCGGTCTCGGAAAGTTCCCGACCGGTCTGTGGCTACGACCCCGGCTTGTGTGCATATTACCAACGTGCGTCAACGGCGATGATATTATGGCGATGGTAAGCATACATATAACAGGTAACCTGGTCGTTTCTCACCGCCTGTAAAAGCCAACTACTGCGACAGAGCTTCTCTTTTCTCCTCTCCGTTGTACATTGCAACATGTCCTCGGCGTCTATACTACCTCCAACTCTTGATCTAAGATTATCTCTACCGCGAAGTTTCCTTGTGAATATCTGACCGTATATGTTGCGACAGAGGAGGTAGAGCTGATCATATCAGAGACTCCAACCGTCGGTGGATAATACAACGAGCTAGGCGACGCGTTTTCCCTAGTGTAGACCATCTTCCCCATTGTAGACCAGGGATATCACGACGGTGCTAACGATTTACCCCAACGCCAATACATACTACCTACTGCTTTTGCGCCTGTAAAAAATCAGGGGCTAAGACCGCTGACATGCCAAGTTTAGGCGTTATGCCGGGGTACGGGGGCTTGCCTTAACCCCAGATTATGCTGAAGCTGGGGAAGTGGAGGTAGCTTAGAGGCTGTTTGTAAACATAAGCATGAAAAAACTTACGGGGGGTAAGCATAAGCATCAGCAATGCATTTGGAGGTATTGCTTAACTTATCCCCACCATAATCTTGCTTGTGGAGTGCTACAAAATACTTCCTTTTCCATCCAATAGGCTTTAGACCTACCGCTGAATTTTTGCTGAATTTGAAACGCACCAATAGAGGTGCTTTTCGAGGCTGATCAATTGTGCTGATGGCTTTTTACAGCGCTATTGCCCACTAAACGCGCTGTAATTACAGCGCGTTTAGTGAAAGAGCTATAGCGCACTTAGTGAAAAAATTACAGCGCACTTAATGACCCGTTAAAATGATATATTAGTGAAGGTGTACGCTGTAATTATAGCGCATTTAGCAAATATTATTTATGATTTTAACAATAGCGACGACGAGGTTGGGAATAGCTTCATCTTAAAATAATCAGTAAGCATTTTAATAAGCATGAGACCACAAACAAAAAACGACTTATTAGCCTGAGGTTAACCCTGATTGGCCAAAATTATAGTGGGAACTCCCCCCATAAGCGAGGTAAATTTAAGCCTGCTTACGTGCTAGGATGTCACGGGCCATAAGTAAAGCACCGCTTATGTTTACAAACAGCCTCTTAAGTTGCCGAGCCCAAGTTAAGTGTTTTCTAATGGGGAAATAGGTGAACCGACCTATGCCCCACTCTCCACCTAACCTGTATAGGGGTAGCTTATGTGAAAGACCTAATATTACTTAATTTGTGTAAAAGTTTAATAAATTTATAAAATAAAATTTATATTATTATTAGTTTTTAATGGGTATTTAATAGGTATTTAACTAGGGTTTATAAAAATTTATAAAAATCTATGAAAATTTATAAAATTTTACCAATTAAATCTTTTAAAGTTTTATTTACCCCGTTTTTTAAGTAAAAAGTAAAACCTTTAAAAATTATAAAAATATTTTACCGTTTTAATAAAATATACAGTTTAATTTAACCATTTACATATTAATTATAAGTTAATTTATTAATATTTATTAAATATTTATTTTATTTAGTATTATTTTTGGTTTTTTATAATTATTATTATATTATTTATTAAATATTTAAGGTTATTTAATTTTTCTTTAAAATATTACTTACCTTAAATACCTTATATAAAACTTAATTAATAAGTATTTATTATATATTTATTAACTATTTAATAAATATTTATATGTTATAATAAGAATAAATATAATATTTAAATTATAAGATTTAACTAAATAATTACCTTTTTTTTAATATAAAAGTAAATATTATAAATATTTTTTTAATTATTAATAAGTATTTATATTTAATTAAAATATAATTATAATAACTATTTTAAACAAAAAATTATTTTATTATTTTAATATAAATTATAATACGAATAAGTTTATTAAATTATATTTTTATATAATATTTTTTATAAAATATTTATTAAATCTTTAATATATATTTATAAATTATTATAAGATAAACAATTTTATTAAATTAACTTAAAACGTTATATTAAATTTTATTATATTTAAGTAAAAAATAAAAATATTTTTATTATATTAATAAAAAATAAAATAAACGGGTTAATAATAATAAATTATTATCGATTAATTAATAAATATTTTTTAAATACTTATCCTTTATTCGATAAATATTTATATAATATTTAAATTATTAAAATATAATTAAAGAATATATTAAGATTTTTATAATTAATAAAAAGCTTAGGTTAATT